TGGAACTAGAGACGGGAGCTCACTCCGTCATGCGGCACACTCGGGTCTCGAACTGCTGAACTACCGACCTTCCACAGCCTGCAGTTCAGCGGCTTAACCACTTGAGCCACCATAGCTCTTTTACATAATGAGATGCAAAAAAAAAGAGTTGCACTTCATGAGACAACCAGGGTTAACAGTACTCCAATCCTTTTGAAACTATAACCCAACCTACATTTTACACTCAAAGGCATAAATTAAACCCCGATGGCTACTTTTATTAGGGGACACTTTGAGAGGGTGAGGAGCAGCTGATTTTCCTTTACATCTCCTCCTCTCACACGCTGCTTTCTCCCCTGTGGGGTTCCAAACACATATTTGCAAGAGTAAGTATGTGTCTGGAATCCCATGGGGATGAGGAGTTAACAGTAGGGAAATAGGAGGCCAGGCAAGAGTTAAACAGGCCCTCCCTACATTACTTTTTCACTGAATATTAACCTCTCTCCTGAAGTTGCTTTCTTCTGTCTTTAAATACATGCATTTCTAGGTAGCAATGAGTTTTGCCCTAAGAGAAGAAATGGATCCAGAGCACAGGTGAATTCCCTGTATCCATTGGTTGGTTGGACAGGATAATTCCATAGACCATAACACACTGCTTTTTAGAAAGAAGGGTCCAAGAATATGTCAGACGAGGCTCCCATCGATAAGCAAAGAATATGGCATGCTCCTTTCTGTTTGGCAGAAGGCATGACAGACCCTTTTGGAATTTTATCTGAGCAACTCAAGGACCACCTACTCCCATATGAACCTACTTTACGGTCATATTGTGAGGTCCTGCTTCTGGTACCCCTGCTTTCTGATTCTAGGCAGGTGGCAACTCAAGACAGGGCCCTCTCATTCAAGGTACCAAAATCATGGCACTCCATCACTGGGCATATTTGTCTGTCCCTCTGTATTCCGCCACCAAGTGAAGACTTTTTTGTTTTGTCTGCTTTCCCTCAATGATTCCTCCTTCCTGCTTGATGTTTTGATTTGCTCTACTGTGTGTATTTTAGCTCTACTTTTTCATTGGTTTTATGATGTATTTTTGTTAAACTTGTGCTAATTGTTAGCTGTCTTGGTGGCCTTGACTGAGCAGAAATGTGGGGTATAAATGTAAATAGATAAATGCAGTGTGCTCCTGGGTGAACGATGGTAGCTGAATTGACAATTCAAATGGCATCCCTTGAGCATGAAATCCACCACATTGTAGGTGGCAATTGCATTTTTTGTGTACTGGGGTGGAAGGAGAACCTTCTGTGGAAGGAGAATGTATAGGCTGTTTTTGCGGCCCATCCTGTTACAACTCAACAATCGGTCTTTGCCGTCTTACTGAAGGACCATAGGCTGTGCCAGTTTGGTATAGAGAGCCAGTTTGGTGTAGTGGTTAGGAGCGCAGACTCTATTCTTGGAGAACCAGGTTTGATTCCCCACTCCTCCACTTGCAGCTGCTGGTGTGACCTTGGATCAGTCATAAGTTCTTTCAGAGCTGTTCTCTCAAGGGCAGTTCTCGAAAGAGCTCTCTCAGCCCCACCTACCTCACAGGGTGTCTGTTGTGGGGAGGGGAAGGGAAAGGTGTTTGTAAGCCGCTCTGAGACTCCTTTGGGTAGTGAAGGGAGGGCTATAAATCCAATCTCTTCTGAAGGAGAAGGGATGAGATTGTATTGGAAATTGATATATAATTTGCTAGCATGAAGGGTATAGATTACTGTGTTCATGAATGTCATTTCCCCATTATCCTGATCAGGCTGCCAGGAGAACTTTGATCCATATCTATTTCTGCCATTCTCTCCATCCAGGTTCAGATGTCAGAGACAATGCTTGCAGCTGGAGAAATGTTAGTGTGTCTGTGCCCAGCTCCTAACCTGAGGAACAGAACAGCAATGTTTCGAATTTCCCATCTTGGACTCAGAGCAGACTGTAAGACTTTTCTGATGAAGTCAGTGAGGTCTGCTGAATTGTGAAAGCAAGTTTGAGGAATCTTTCTTGTAGACTTGGAAGAACTTTGGCAGCTTGGGTGTCCAAGTGAAATAGCGTGTGCTAGCTGGATGGAGACTGGAGGAGCGTATTTGCCCAAGAAACATCCCATGAAGAAGCAGTACCAGTTGGAACATGGGCAATGGACAGGGCTGCTAGCTGTCTCTGGGCACCTGGTTCGCATCTTGCTGCTTCTAATTTTGCCTTCCTGTGTACTTCCTGCTCCCACTCCAGCAGATGAGAGTGGAGAGATAGTGGTAAGTCATTCCTGGAGCATGAGAGTCAAACATTGACAGCATCTTTTCCTAAAAGCAGAATGCTTGTAATCTCCAGTAGTAAGTAGAAAATACCTGATAGTTGTGTCCAATCCCCAGGACGGGTCTTAGAAGGTAAAATTCCAGACAGGTTAAGCTGCTTCGGCCAAAGTAAAGAGTTTTGTGTTGCCTTAAAGACTACTGAATGTAAGCAAGCATTGCATACATATGACCAAGCGGCCTCTGGATCATGAAAGCTTATGCCATAAGAAATTTATTAGTCTTTAAGGTGGCACATGGTTCTTCGTCCATTACAGGAGGGTGTGCTGTAATGCTGTAAATATTTTTATTTACAAATGTACAGGCTGAGCAGGCAAGTTGGTTCCAAAATAATATTAATCCCCTGAATATCTATATTAACTTCCCTAATGCATCCAAAAACTGCTTTCCCCTCCAACTCTGTTGGTACACATATTGCCAAACAGAATTGATTTCAGCATCATTCCACCATGCACATGTCTGCAACTTAAAGTTGTGTTCTAATATGGCTTTGGGAAAAGAGCAACATAATTACTCTTTCAGCAAACTCTTATTTGCTCACTATCAGATCTCAAGACCCTGAAGAGAGGGGCTGTTTCTTTACTTGGCAGTAAAGAACTGGATATCCTCTGCTTCAAGGAAACCCAAGTTAATGCAAATCATGTGACTTATACATGGTTTATTCTTTTGGCCATCTTGAACAGGGTTTAGAATTTAAAGTGGGAGAGGAAGAAAGTCTGCAATATATGAGTACATGAGTCTGCAAGTGTACATCGCTCCACCTCCAGACCACTTGGCAACCTATCCGCCTTCCCCTTGGGTTTCTAAAGACCAAGACAGACAAGACATGCGGAGATCACTGAATGGATATCCAGAATGTTGTGTTTTGTAGGGATGCAAACTTCCAGTTGGGACCTGGGAATCCCCCAGAATTGCAGCTCATCTCTAGACTATAGAGATCAGTTCCCTTGGAGAAAATGGGTGCTTTGGAGGGTGGACTCTATGGCACCCATATGATGTCATAGGGTGGACTCTAGGTCACCCACTGGTGTCCCTGTCATCCCCAGGTTCCATCCCCACATCTCTAGGAGTTTCCAAACCTGGATCTCGGAGCCCTACCTCCTGTACCCACCGATGGCCCTGGGGGACCTGGCAACCCTGTGTTTTGGTGTTTTAGTAAACAGCAGCCATGGGAGACTCTGGTTTGGATCATGTGTGTGCCAGGAGGGAGCCTTTAAAAAGTCCTCTTAGGTACCATTTTTCTAACCTCGCACAGTCCCACGGAGCAACTGGTTACCATGTTGGAGAAATATATATGTTGCCATGTGTCCCCAAAACAAATATTAGGGGAAATAGCACAGAGAGAGAAGAGCGAAGCCCTTCATCCCTGCCACAGCCTGAATTAGGCCTCCTGTAGCTGATAGTTACAGAAAAAGGCAAAAATCAATCATTATCAACATTGATTGGCAAAAATAGTACCTGAGACCTATCTCATAACAGGCCACACCCAACAGCAGAAATTCATTTGGATTGGCTACATTAGGGGTGTGTGGCCTAACATGCAAAGGTGTTCCTGCCGCAAAAAAAGCCCTGGGTTTTGACAACAAACAAGGTAAACAGAATAAGAAACAAAAGGTGGGTGTGGGTGGATAACCACACTTCTGGTAACATGGGGGTGCGGCCTAATGTGCTAATGAGCTGCGCTGTCAGGGGTGTGGCCTAATACACTAATGAGTTTCTGCTGTTGGGTGTGGCCTATTATGCTAATGAGTTCCTGCTGGACTTTTTCTACAAAAAGAGCCCTGCAACAAGTTATGGTTAAATGTGATATGAAAAAAACTTTTGCATATAATATTTTTATTAAAAAGGGATCATCTTAACATTCAGGGTCATCTTCCTTTGAGATAAATAATGGTATATTTCATCAAATATAGTTCGGCCCTGAGTATCTGAAAGAGGAGGTTTAGGGTCCCATGCTAGAAATGGTCATCTCTGGCAAATCATTTGCACAGGATCTGTGTGGTATACTTTGTAATTCCTGCCCCAGCTGAGATCAGTATTAATAACCATAGCAGAAGAAGCCTGTGAAATATGTAAATCAGGTGCACAGAATATCTATCTTTTGCTTTACGTATAAGATGGTTCACTTGACAGCTTCTTGGCAGATGTACCTGAATTAAAACAAGACACTTCCGTGCCCATTTGCTCATTGTATTTTTCATGTTCCATACTATGCAAGCACAGGCCTTATTGCTAGACTAACAGTGCAGTCCTAAAGCAGACCTATGCCCTTCTAAGGCATTGAAGCCAATGGGCTGAGAAGGGTGTAACACTGTTTAGGATTGCACTGAAGGTGAGGTGGCCTGTAAAAGAAAAGAAAGGAATCCCAAATGAGAGGATTTGAAATTTCCACCGGTACAGATGGGACAACCTGACCTGGATAGCCTAGGCTAGCCTGATCTCATCAGATCTCAGAAGCTAAGCAGGGCCGGTGTGCTGCCCCAGCCAGCGTTAATGTACCTTTAAGAGTAGTTGCACCCTGGGAATTGGAGTCCACAGTTAGGGGTCCCAGAAGCTTCCCTCTGACTGGCTCATTAAGAGTAATTTCCTGAGCTCAGAGGCGCAAAGATAGGAGTTTTATTCTTCTTTTCCGTTCCTTTGTCCATCAACCCTTACTGCAAAGGAGCGGGGAAGCCCATCTCTTCTCTCAACATGGCGATAGAATTTGACTTAGATCACAAGATGTAACTTCCACCCAGATATATCAGCTCGATTGTGAGTAAATGATCTTCTGAATGCGTGTGAAGTTAAATAAAGATGATTTAAGCTGTCCTCAGTAGTCGTGGACTCACGCCTAGAGAGCGTTGGCTTAGCACAGCTCGCGGAGGACAGGAATAGTGAGAGAAGAGATGGGCTTCCGCGCTGGACAGGAATAGCCATCATTGCTAGCTAGTATTTGGATGGGAGACCTCCAAGGAATACCAGGGGCGTGACGTGGAGGCAGGCAATGGCAAACCACCTCCAAACATCTCTTGCCTTGAAAACCTCACGGGGTTTCCGTAAATCAGCTGTGACTTGATGTCAGCTTCCACCACCACCAAAGATGGGACAGTACTGACTCTCCCCCTCCCCCTGTGACCCTTGCCTAGGAGTGGCTGACGCAGTATGGATACCTTCCTCCAGCTGATCCAGTAACAGGCCAGCTACAAACCTGGGAGGCCGTGACCAGTGCCATCCGTGCCATGCAGCGCTTTGCAGGCATTGCTGAGACCGGGATTCCAGGTATGGGGTAACTACGAATTCCTGAGAGTTCCTCCTAGTTTTCCTCTGGTACCCGAGCATTGACATGTATACTTGTACTGGGATGTTCCCTCATTAATTTTATTAATCACATGTGATAGCATCGTTGGAAGGGATGAATATTCTCTAGTGGAGTCTAGTCATACAGGAGTTCTGTTGAGAAGAGGAAGAGATTGGATTTATACCGCGCCCTTCACTACCCGAAGGAGTCTCAGAGCAGCTTACAATCCCTTTCCCTTCCCCTCCCCACAACAGGCACCCTGCGAGGTAGGTGGGGCTGAGAGAGTTCGCTTGAGAACTGCCCTTGAGAGAACAGCTCTGAAAGAACTTATGACTGACCCAAGGTCACACCAGCAGCTGCATGTGGAGGAGTGGGGAATCAAACCTGGTTCTCCAAGATTAGAGTCCTGGCGCAAACAGTAAATCTGTGTCTGGACTGTACCACTTCAGCCTGCAGGTGGGGGTGGCACAACAAAGCTTCTGCACAACAAAACTTTCCCTGCACAAGGATGTAAGAAAGAAGAGCTCTAGGCTTGCTTTCTCCTTGGTAGGCTAGTTCACTCTATGCATGGAGTTTTTGTTTGTTCAGAGGAGCATTCAGGAACATGAGCAGCTTGAAGTGGTACAGCCCAAATATGAGTCTACCATCTCTTGGGGAGCTAGGCCTGTCATTTCATGCCATGTGATTCGGTTTGGCCTCTTTTTGCTTCCCTTGAATTCACCAGACGATGCCACGTTGGCTCTGATCCGAATGCCTCGCTGTTCTTTGCCTGATATTATCCCCACCTTCCCAGAGAAGCTCCCTTTGAGGAGAAACAGGAGAAGAAAAAGGAGAAAGAGAAGAAAGAGTCAAAGCAGGCGGAATGCTGGCTCAGTTTGGACCAAGAGGAATATCTCGTGGAAGTAGGTATCACTATGCTGATTTTGGTTCAAACCAAATCTGACATTGTACGGTATTTGAACTTTTTTCTGCTTATTCTCCTTATGAACAATGGGCTGGTCCAAGGAAGCCCTTCCCCAATAGGGTTGCCTGGTCCATCCTGGCAACCGGTGGGAGATGGGAGGGACTTACCTTTCCATCATGGTGCAGCAGGGAGGCCCAGCCAATGTACAGTGATGTGTCTACACCACTGCCCATGTGACTTCATCACATCCAGGACATTGGGGTGATGCTGTGGTATTTGGGGCAAAAACTCTTTGATATATTTGGCTTCTACCATAGAGTTTTTGCTGAAATACCAGAGCATTGCCCCGACATCCCAGATGTAGTGATGTCACTTCCGGGTCACATGGGCAGTGACGTAGACATGTTGCTGCATGTCAGACGGTTCTCCCTCTTTTTGGGGGGTAAGTTCCCCCCACCAGCCAGGTGGTGGGGAGGTAGGGCCTCATATTGGGGACCCCTGCCTTCACTGGGGTCTGTGTGTGTCTAGCAACCCTATTCCACATGCTGAAGGTACTTTCTGCTTGTGGAAGAGCTATTTTGTGCTTTGCACTGGAGTTAAGTGTAACTGAATGCAAAGATGTTCTTTTTGTAATAGCTTATGTAAGAGCTGTGAATGACCCAATTCCAGTTTCCAGCATAGGACCATAGCTAGGATAACAATTACAGCAGCCATACAGGACACATTTTTTAGGTTCTTGATGCATTTATTTAAAAAGAAAGAAGCAGAAGAACTTTGGTATGGAGGCAGGTATGCCCTGGCCTGGTGGATCCAGGCTTGCCTGATCTCGTCGGATCTCAAAAGCTAAGCGGGGTCAGACCTGGTTAGTACTTGGATGGGAGACCACCAAGGAAGTCCAGGGTTGCTGTGCAGAGGCAGGCAATGGCAAACCCACCTCTGCTGTTCTCTTGTCGTGGTCGCCATAAATCACCTGTAAACTTGACAGCACTTTCCACCATGAAGGCATGCAGAATCGGACTTGGAGGATTGCTCAGTATTGACATTGGGGAGGAATTATATCTGAGGTCAGATTATCTGAGCTAGGTGTGTGTCAGTGAAATCCTATGGAGGCTACTCAAAAGTAACTCCCATTATAGGCAATGGTGCTTATTGCCAGGTAAGTGTGCATAGGATGGCAAGCTTGTCCCTTCCTGTGTGTGGTCTGGCTCATTGCCTGACTGATATCGAGCTGGTTTTGTCCCGTGAACATCTTTCTGTACTGCATCTGCTCTCTGTAGTGCAACATAATCTGGATAACCGACCTCACAGGGTTGTTGTGAGGATTAAATGGGGTAGAGGAGAACAGTGTAAACTGCTTTGGGTCCCCACTGGGGAAGAAAGGTGGGGCATAAATAAGCAAATAAAATAAATTGTATCAGTTGAACTGTGTCAGAAAGGGAGGGGCTGGTGGATGCATGTTCCTGTTTTCACCAGCATAGGTTGGACCAGATACCCTTTTATGTTAACAGAATATCAGAATGTAATTGGTTCCATAATACAAAGTCTAGAGAAGTCTATTCAAAATTATTCCATCCTCATGCAAAGGCAGTTCATTAAAAAAAAACACCAATGCAGCCATTAGCATACCTTGTTGGGAATATTTATGGATTCATTTAACATCCCAAATCACAAAAGCAATTTATGGGCCTTGGGGAGCTGCATGTTAAAATGTGTCCAAAAATACTCCTCGCAAAGTATGTGAATGGCAGCGTCAGTGCAACAAGGAATAAAACCTCATATGAAGTAAAATCCCTCAAGGGGATTTCAGGACCACTGCTGGGCTGTGTATAACAAGCATGTAAGTCCCGAATGTTGCTTGGACACACACAGAGTAGAAGATTAACCAGGGATTGGCCAAACGAACCAATCCAACCCTCCCAGCTTTAATCCAGCTCTGTTCAACCTTTTGCTCTTGCATAATAAAATTAATAAGGGCTCCAAAAAGCTGAGCTGCTGTATGGCTCTAAAAGTGCCATTGGGTATAGAGGGAGAAATTGAGAGAAAATGAGGATGCAGACAACTATAAGCATTGTGAGGTTCATTGAATAGACTGGAGCAATGTAGAAAATACTCAAAACATCTAAATATATGACTGCCCTTTTGGGGGCAAGCAAAGTGCATCCAAAGGGTGGGTATAAGAACAGATACTTGAGACCAGGGTTCTTTTTGTAGAAAAAGCCCAGCAGGAACTCATTAGCATAATAGGCCACACCCAACAGCAGGAACTCATTAGCATATTGGGCCACACCCCTGACAGCTCAGCTCATTAGCACATTAGGCCACACCCCCATGTTACCAGAAGTGTGGTTATCCAGCCACACCCACCTTTTGCTTGTTATTCTGTTTACCTTGTTTGTTGTCAAAACCCAGGGCTTTTTTTGTACCAGGAACTCCTTTGCATGTTAGGCCACACACCCCTAATGAGATTCTGCTGTTGGGTGTGGCCTATTCTGCTAATGAGTTCCTGCTGGGCGTGGCCAACTTGGGAGCCAGCCAGAACTCCGTTCCTGTGCGTTCCTGCCCAAAAATAGCCTTGCTTGGGACCAAATCTGAAAAGGCATTTAGAACCCAGGAGGTTCTATTATTGTTGCCAGCAGTGACTGGGGTAAGAAATGCAGGACTCTTTAAAAAAACAACAAAAAAAACCAGCTATTCATTATGAGCTAAAGTCCAAACATTCATGGCCAGAAGAGGAAAATAGCCTGTAAGTAGTCCTGTTCCACAAACACTTACACAAGAATGCAGGCAATACTAGAACAGGGAGTTTCTGCAACATTTCTTACACATCTATGTGTGCAAAGAGGTTGGGCAAGCTCTTGGGCAAACAGAAGGATATCTTCAGATTTAGTTTCATTCTTTAGCGTGTTCTGTAAAAGAGCTCTGAGGAATGCAGAAGGGTATTTTTGTGTCCACTTCTGTGAGGGACGAAGCAGGGAGGAAGAGAAATTAGCAAAGGCCAATTGACATGTGTGGGTTTGGATTCAGACTATCTTTACAGTTAGCAAGACACTAAAAAGAGCCTGTGAGCCTCTGTGCCACGTATAAATGTTTGTAATACACAACAGGGGTGGACTGGGAAGCTCAAATGGCCCAGGAACAAGCCAAGCTGAGTGGTCTGAGTGCTACAATCCTGCACTGAAAGAGCCAGTCAGCTCAGACCCAGCTAGCAGCACTGACAATGGGTATAATCTAGGGCAGGGGTGTCAAACGTGTGGCCCGGGGGCCAGATTAAGCCCCCAGAGGGCTTCTATCAGGCCCACGGTGGAACTGGCTGTCTTCTGCTGCTTCTTCCAGTTCTGCTGCTGCTGCGTCATCATAGGTTTGCAGTTTACAGATACACACCTGAACAGCATACTCAAGATTGCAGCAGCACAGACATTTTGATGCAATAATTCAGAGCAAGAGGTGTCAGTTATCAGACACTGTTAAATAAACAAAATATTGCAAGAGTGCTAATGTTTATATCGCTGCTACCTGGCATAACATTTTATGGCACACATGGCCCAGCCCAACAAGGTCTCATTTATGTCAGATCCGGCCCTCATAACAAATGAGTTCGACACCCCTGATCTAGGGGTACCCTCCCAACAATCTCCAGTGCGGTCTGTTGGGGCCTCACAGACTGGTGAGGGGGGAATGGGTAGGGTGCACCAGTGCTGTGCTGGCACATGATGTCACTTCTGGTGAAATTCTGAAACAATGTCATGACATAAGGTTTTGGCAAATCCTAGAGAATTGCCCTTAATGTCATGAAGTCAGTTCTGGAGTTTCACCAGAAATGACACTGTGCACAGGTGTCACACCAGCACGCCGGCCCCCACCTCCCAAATCCACCCTGGGTGCCAGGTGATGGGTTGCCAGTGCTAGCAAAATCTTACCCATTGCTTCCAGCGATGGTGCAGGAGGAAGCAACCTGTGAGCTGATACTGATCAGTATTACTGCTGCTGAAGGGCTGGAGTAGAGTGACTCCCATACTATTGGTGGAGCTGCCTGGACTTGGCCCTGCTAGCTCCTGGCCACCTAATTTGTATACACGGGGACCACGGTCTGGATAAGAACTAAAGGAAAAATAGAGCAGAACCATGCAAATTTACTTCTATGCAAATAAAGTATATTAGAAAAGTAGTATAAAGTTTTCAAAGTCACAATGTATCAGTTTTCACAATTTCGATATAATAACCTGCATTAATTACAAGATAACAAAACAATTCATTGCCTATCACGTACATACTCAGAAACCACAAAACGTGAACTCGTAAATTTCTTGAATGTGCTAAGAAACTAATTGGAGGAGGTACTTTGTCTTACTGTTAGGAAATTCAATGTACAAGATGATGGTAAAGACCTTTTGCATGCTTGTTTCTGCATTCTGAAGCCTTCAATTTCTGAAGAAGAGAATTGGAAACGGTGCATACTGGAACACTTGTCAAGTAATCTTCAATTGCCAGAGCAATCCAGTCTTGTTGATAACAATCATCACTCCGTGAATATAATCTGGACATTTTGTTTATTATGAGCTCAAGTGTGGCATTGTTCTGAATATGTGTGTGATATGCAGTGAACTGTGTTTTGTTATCTTGTAATTAATGCAGGTTATTGTATAGAAATTAGAAAAACTGCCACACTGTGACTATTGCTTGTTGAAAACTTTATACTACTTTTCCTACTATACATTATTTGCATACGAATCAGTTTGCACAGTTCTGCTCTATTTTTCCTTTAGCTCCTGGCCATCAGCAGCCTTCCAGGCCAATGGCCAACCAGGAACTTTCCGATTAAGTTAAGCAGCCGGTCTGCCCTGATGTGAGAAATCAAATGTCTATGCCAGCCATCATAAATTTTATATTTGTAATACAGACCAACTGAAATGCAAGCTAGCACAACTGTTATCTGTAGGAAATCCCCTTCAAGCTGTACAGCCTTAACGACGTTTACCAAGTTGCAGATCACATTGTGGAATCATCTGCAAGATTTACTTCCGAGTTTAGGACCACCCTGCACATGTGGCCAAAACCCTCAGAGCAGCCACTAGGGGGTGCTAACAGACAAAAAGTACTGAGTGTGCGAGGCATACTGTGGTTTGCTCTGGCACAAGATTCTTCAGGCAACTAACTGCCAGCTCTGAGTTAACTGGAACATTAGCCAGATTAACGGGGGTGGGGGGTGGGGACACACTAAATATATCAGGAATGCAGAAAATATACAGCATGAACACAAATATGGCAACTTAACATTTGCTAGTGCACTTAACACGTTGCTCAGAAATAATGGGAACTGCTAAGCAGTAGCAAAGGTAAACGTTTGCCTTGCTCGAAAGCCAGTCGAATCCGACTCCAGGGGGCTGTGCTCATCTCCGTTTCCAAGCCAAAGAGCCAGCGCTGTCCGAAGACGTTTCCATGGTCATGTGGCCGGCATGACTAAACGCCAAGGCGCACAGAACGCTGTTACCTTCACACCGAAGCGATACCTGTTTATCTCTTTGCAATTTCTTGCTTTCGAACTGCTAGGTTAGCAGGAGCTGGGGCCAGAGACAGGAGCTCACTCCGTCACGCGGCACTCAGGTCTTGAACTGCCCAATTACAGACCTTCCGGTCTGCAGCTCAGCATCTTAACCTCTGAGCCACCGCGGCAGTAACAAAACACGTAACTAAATGGCAGCAACTGATTTTTTTTATAGTGGTGCAACCATTCAGAACCCTTCCAAGCTCCTTGGAGAAAGGATGAGAACCCATAATGTTCAAACTGAAGAAGTACAGTCAGATTTATTAACGCATTTCATTACTGAAGCTTCTTTTTGGCTTACCATGTTATTGGAAGTCAAAGGTTGTGGAAGTCACACGGTGAACCCCTGAGTAACTACTATCTGGATCTTTCTGATATGCCTCAGGCAAAACAAGGCGAGGGATTTGTTGGTTCTGTCTAAGCATTGTCTCTACCACAGGGTGAAGACCTACCCACGGGAGGCCCGTCTTAGCCGAGAGACCATGCGTGTATTGATGTATTATGCCCTGAAGGTGTGGAGTGAAGCCACACCTTTGAACTTCCACGAGGTGGGCAGTCATACTGCAGACATCTCTGTGGAATTCCTCCAACTTGACCATCATGATGGCTACCCTTTTGATGGGCCAGGTGGCATGGTGGCCCACGCCTTCTTCCCTGGAGACCCCCAAAGGGCTGGCAGTGTTCACTTTGACAGTGATGAAGATTGGACATTTCGCTCACCAGGTGAATGGACTCGTGTTGGGAGGGGAGTTGCCATGGAGGTGTGCCCTTATTGATGACAAAGAAAATATGAGCTCACAAGGATCGGGCTGTTACCTCTAGCTGTGGATTTGTCCTAGGGTTTCCCAACTCTGGGTTGGGAAATTCCTGGGGGATTCCTGGAGTGGGTGGGGTTCGGGGAGGGGAGGGAACTATATATATAATGCCATATAGAGTCCATCCTCCAAAGCAGTCATTTTCTCCAGGGGAACTCATCTCTGTAGTCTGGAGATGAGTTGTAATTCTGGGAGATCTCCAGGCCCCACCTGGAGGTTGGTAGCCCTAATCTGTGCTTCCAGTCTCCATTTGGAAGATTTGATGAATAGGGCTTGTTCGTGCTCAGGATGGCGTTGCCTGGCACCATGGTTGTGGGGGCGGGGCTTCCCATTATCCTTGTAGCTTGCCTTGCTTGTGTGGTTTGTTTAATGCTATTATGCTGTAGATACATTTCTGCAGTGCTTCTGCTCTTGGATGGTGGGGCACTGTCCCTTTCGGCAACACATAGTTCGGTCAGGGATGGGTAGATGACCTGCCTCGTGGCAAGTGGTTTGTTAGGATGGGCTTCTATCCTTTCCATTTCCATAAAGGATGTGATTTTTGCCAATACCTTTTCTCACCTTCTTATATCAAGCTCTTGACTTTTCACTCTCACGTTTCGACAGATGACTTTGGAACCGACCTCTTTGCTGTGGCTGTTCATGAGTTTGGGCACAGCCTTGGCTTAGCACATTCATCCTCCAAGCACTCCATTATGCGCCCCTATTACCAGGGGCCGGTGGGAGACCCTTTGCAGTATCAGCTGTACACGGATGATCGATCTGAGATTCAGAAGCTTTATGGTATGTGCAGCAGCAGGGTATTTAATGTAACTTAGTTGAAATGTCCATAATGCTCAAAGCAGCTTACAAAATATAACCATATACAATTAGGACAGATAAAATAACATGCATCAAGTTAACTGCAGCTCCTGCAACATGTATTATCACCAGCTGACAATCAGAGACATTCATTAGTTATTCCCACCAGCGTATCAAAATAATTCCGCTTTGCACCTTTTATGGAAGAGGGTGGATGTGGGAGCTTTCTGTACCATATCTGGCGGGATGCTCCAAAATGTGTGTGCAACCACTGAAAACAAGTCTGCATGGGTGCACCTCACAAATAGTGGGGACTGCCAAAAGTGAGGGTTCTGATTTACCTTAGTTGGTGCATGAGATCATATGGGGAAAGGTGGTCTTCTGGATATGTGGGTCCCAGGCCATTAAGGACTGTAGAGGTAACAACCAGCACTTTGAATGGTGACCAGAAAACAAATAGAAGCTGCCAAAAGCACAGGTGTAATATTATCATACCATCATAACCTGACCTGATCTAGCTGCAACATTCCATACCAAATGGATTTCCTGATACTTTTCAAGCACAGTTGTACGTATACCACATTACAGTAATCTACCTTGCGGTTATCTGGCATGAATCAGCATGGCAAGGTCAACATGATCAAAACAGGGGGGCTAGTTGGTGCACTTGAGCATCACTGTACTTGGTCAGAGAGAACCTAATCCAAGTCTCTCTAGATCAGTGATACTCTGTACCTCGGGAGCCACATGTGACTCTTTGGCATACCACCTTGTGGCTCTTCTAAGCACTGTTTCATTAGAAGCTAGAATAATTTCTTCATTACTGTCGGCCCAAGGTAAAAGTGTTTTAGACTGGTGACCAGAAAATAGAAGCTGCCAAAAGCACAGGTGTAATATTATCATACCATCATAACCTGACTTGATCGAGCTGCAACATTCTATACCAAATGAATGTCCTGATACTTTTCAAGCACAGTTGTACGTATACCACATTACAGTAATCTACCTTGCGGTTATCTGGCATGAATCAGCATGGCAAGGTCAACATGATCAAAACAGGGGGGCTAGTTGGTGCACTTGAGCATCACTGTACTTGGTCAGAGAGAACCTAATCCAAGTCTCTCTAGATCAGTGATACTCTGTACCTCGGGAGCCACATGTGACTCTTTGGCATACCACCTTGTGGCTCTTCTAAGCACTGTTTCATTAGAAGCTAGAATAATTTCTTCATTACTGTCGGCCCAAGGTAAAAGTGTTTTATTTGTTTCATTCACTCCGGCGAGGGATCGGTTTACTCCTGTGGTGTAGCCACCTTTTTAAGGCCTTGCAGCGTCTCTCTCAGTATTGCGTGTAGGCTTGGTGCCACCCGGAGGCAAATCCCAAGGGCTCATGCATGCTGAAGAGTTTTCAACCAGTTCACAATACTTGTGTAAATCTAAGAATCAGTTCTTGTGAGCTGGTAAGAGCCAGCTCTAGCACACCACTGGTTATATTATATGTTATTGCTTATGCATGTTTAAGGTGTCGCACAGGACATACTATAATTACAAGGCTCTTTTGGTTGCCTGTCATGGGAATGAAAATGGGTTTCAGATCTGGATGAACAAGAAACTTTTTGTAACTTAGATTCTTGGGCTTCATCAAGGATGTCTTGGGAACGTCCTCCTAAGGGCAACCATGCTTATGTCTCAGAGTGCACTGCTGGTACTGAAGATAAACCAACAGTGGCTACAAAATCATTAATATCGGCACTTCATACAACTAGCACAAGTTTGTAATGGTTGTTAAGTCTGCTACAATAGTCCTGCTCATGTGTCTTTTGGTGATTGTAATATGTCACAATCTGGACTAGGTCAGATCCAGCTTTTAGCCATTGCTCGGTCCGTCTCCACAGGATGGATCCGGCCAAACAACAGATTGTGGTTTGTGTCATTTTATGTTTCCGTTTTGCATCAGTTCTGTTTGATAAACCTCAGTGTTTACACTGACTAGCTCTCTGCATCTTACCAAGTCCATATATTATGACTCGGTTCACTGATTCTTTCTCTCACACTCTCATTTTTAAGGGAGTAGAGTTCTTCATTCCACAGAGAAGCCCGAGGTAACCTCACTGCTCCCAGATCTGCTGTCCATGCCACACGATTTCCCTGCTCTAAGGTTATTTCATTTATTTATTTATTCATTGGACTTGTAGACCACCCTCCCCGGGGCTCAGGGCAGTTACCAACATTTCAATATACATAATTACAAGTATTTATTTATTTATTTTTCGCTAAAATACCCCGCCCTCCCCAATGGGCTCAGGGCGGCTCACAGAGGCAAGAACAGCTTGCCATGATAAAACAATATATACAAAACAATTTAAAACATATACTACATATTAAAATCTAATAACAAAGTGCTCAGTGCCATTCATAATCTAAAAAATGGCGGATCGAATGTCCAAAATCCCACGAAGACGGCAGAAGGACTCTTCCATAGTAGATGTTTAATTGGAACCTCAGGGCGGTGGTGGTATAGTAGGGGCGGCGGCTCCTACTCGAAAGCCTGGGGGTAGAGCTCCGTCTTGCAGGCCCTGTGGAACTGCATAAGGTCTCGCAGGGCCCTGATCTCCTCCCGGCCTTGCAGGTCCACCGCCGGGCCCCTCATGGGGCTCGGCAGTGGAGCTGCAAGGCCGGCGGCGGCGGCCGGGACCGTTGGGGGCGGGGTGTGTGGCCTTATGAAACACTTCCGTTGATGTCCGGGGGTGTGGCCTTATGACACACTTCCGGTGATGTCAAGGGGTGTGGCATATGCTAATGAGTTATGCTAATAAGTTCCCCTAGCTCTTTTTCTACGAAACGACCCCTGACTAAAACAATTAAAACAATGCATAGTTTAGATTCCGATTCCAATTTATGAAGGCGCTTAAACAATTAACATCCTTCTCCATAGGTGGAGAGGGGAGAGAAGGAGGAGGCCAGGCTCCATGAAAACTGTTGCTGTCCTTTATTTACACCTCCTAAGTGCATTGTATTAGGTGTCCTTTGTGGTCTATGCATACATTATTCTACTGACTCCAGAGGGCTTTGGCTCACATGAGCTCATAAAGCTGCCCTGTAGTGAGTCAGACTTTTGTTCTATCAAGGTTGGTATTGTCTACATAGACTGGCAGCAGCTGTCCAGGATCTTAAGAAGAGGTCTTTCCCATCATCTGCTGCCTGATCCTTTTAACTGGAAGAGCCAGGAACTGAACATGGGACCTTCTGCAAGTCGAGCAGATGTTCTGCCACTGAGCCATGGCCCCACCAATGTTCCCTCTAAGCTGTGGAGTCTTGTGAGCAAAAATTCTACTTTGTGAGCTACTGGCATTAAAGTTGTGAGCGAGCGATTTGGCTACTGCATGCATTAATTTGCTTTGGAGTCATCCTTCCTGAGCTAAGACAAAAATGTGTGAGCCGGAGGTTAAAAAACTGTGAGCTGGCTCACACTAACTCGGCTTAGAGGGAACACTGGGCCCCACCCAGCTATGCTGCAAATTACTTCAAAGATACAATATTCCGGTTGTTTATAACTTATGATAGTTCACAGTGGTGACACTTGGTATTCACTATGGTGGCATGTCATGCCATGTTCAGGTCCTCTTCTCAATTTATTTCTTGGGCACGAAACAAAACCTCAAATGTGGGAAGCTGGTAAAAAGGGTAATTAACAATGCTGAAGATCTGGGGTACATGAGCATCGTATTCTCTGCTAAGTTTGCATGGCCTACATTGGTCCCACTTGGGTTATGAACAGGCAAGGAGATGGTGCATGATCACCAGCTCTTGGAGACTGTGAGGGCAAAAGACAAGTGTGGAGAGGGTACAAGTTTTTGTTCAAAACTCCCTTATGGATACGGTTGCCAGCTTCCAGGTGGTAGCTGAAGATCTCCTGGGATTACAACTGATTTCCAGGCGACAGATCAGTTCTCCTGGAGAAAATGGCTGCTTTGGAAATTGGACTCTATGGCATTAGACCCCACTGAAGTCCCTCCTCAGGCTCCACCCCAAACATCTGCAGGTATTTCACAAGCCAGAGCTGGCAACCAATGCTCCCTCTAAGCTATGGAGTCCTGTGAGCAAAAATTCTACTTTGTGAGTTACTGGCATTAAAGTCGCGACCAAGCGATTTGGCTACTGCATAAATTAGTTTGCTCTGGAACCATCCTTCCCAAGCTAAGACAAAAATGTGTGAGCCGGAGGCTAAAAGACTGTGAGCTAGCTCACACTAACTCAGCTTAGAGGGAGTACTGCTGGCAACCCTCCAGACCTCCTTATGGGTGCATCCTCCAGGCCTGTCTTGTCCCCCTTCAGTGCTTTTCTCTGTTCAACTAGGCTAAAGGTAGTACAGTTGAAGCTGAACGGGGCAGTTAATGCTGTACAGCTATACCAATTACTGTACTGGAGTAAAAAGTGTTTCCCTGGCCTTTGGAAAGTGGCCGTTTCTTCAGGAGGTTCCTGTTACTCATAGGAGTGAAGGGAGGGCTACTGGGAAACAGGAGGCTAGTATTTCCTCCCTGTTGAGTTAGTGTTTTGTTTTGTTTTTTAAATCCATATTGTATAGGCTGATTTCCATTTCCATTTCTTTGTTTCAGGTCTGGGAAGGAATTCCCCGATCGCTGCGCCTCCAATGTTGATGCTGTTGCTCAAATTAGAGGAGAAACATTCTTTTTCAAAGGTCTGCAGCCTCATGTGTAGCATAGATGCTCTTTAAAAAAGGGAGAGTCAAGCATGGATATAAGCTAGCATTTACTGACTGATTAAAATAATTCTGCCGGTCTTTTGACACATGCAGAGTGTCCTTTCTCTCAAGGCAACTTACAAAAATATATGTCATCATACATCTTCTCCAAACCTGAGTATATAATAAAAACATGGAATTAAAATCCAGAATAGAATAAGGTAGCAGTAACAAGATGCTTTGTATCAGTCATCATGACTTAAATTATCAACACCAAAAAAGGCTGTTTACAATAAATGATTTAAATCAAATATTTACATTTTTCCTAAATGATGTATATAATTCAGTTGATCTAAGCAATAAAACATGTAAATTGATAGCTAAATAAAAGTATTTATACAATCTAAGTGGCTATACATGGGTTTCACTTCTGTTTCTTCTACTTTTGGTGTAGTGTAGTGAGAGCCAGTTTGGTATAGCGGTTAAGAGCCATGGACTCTAATCTGGAGAATCGGGTTTGATTCCCCACTCCTTCACATGAAACCACCTGGGTGACCTTTGGCCAGTCACAGTTCTCTCTGAACTGTTCTCTCAAGAGCAGTTCTTGAGAGAGCTCTCTCAGCCCCCCCTACCTCACAGGATTTCTGTTGTGGGGAAGGGAAGGAGATTGTAAACCACTCTGAGACTGTGAGTGGAGGGTGGGGTATAAATCCTTCCTCCTTCGCAAAATTTACCTATGTAACTTCACATATTTTTTATTGCCCCCTTCCCCCTGCCCGGTGCTTTTTAAAGCAATAAATCACAGTGCCAATGCAAGTAAACAAAAAAAAAAATGTATTTTTGCCCCCTCTTTAAAAAATGCTCAGTGCTCAATCCAAGTTTGCTTGCTCAATGTATGTCATTCTGAAGTGGGAAGTGCTGAAAAATACAGAAATGCAAACGGTACCAGATGGACAGTGAGTATATTTTGTACTCTGGGATACAGATCCATGAAGAAGAAGAAGAATTTTAAAATCCTAAGAGCCTCCTGTTGCCATGGTAATCTGGCAACTCAGCCAATACTTCTGCCAGGTGAGATTTCATGTTTCTCCCTTTCCCTCCCACCTGTGGCAGGTCAGTATTTCTGGCGTCTGACCCAAGGACGGCATCTCACCTCTTTGCGCCCTGCCTTGATCACAGGCTTCTGGCGAGGCCTCCCTTCCAGTCTCCACAAAGTAGATGCTGTGTATGAGAGGCACACGGATCATCGCATCCTCTTCTTCAGTGGTAAGAGCTTCATATGTGACACAATGACATTCTCGGATGGCGAATCAGAGCAAAGCAATTGGATGTGGTGTCTGTTTAAAGAATTTGTATCACAACTTTCCACTCATATAAACCAGGGCTATTTTTGGGCAGGAACGCACAGGAACGGAGTTCCGGCTGGCTCCCAAGTTGGCCACGCCCAGCAGGAACTCATTAGCATAATAGGCCACTAATAGGCAAATGAGCTGTGCTGTCAGGGGTGTGGCCTAATATGCTAATGAGTTCCTGCTGTTGGGTGTGACCTATTATGCTAATGAGTTCCTGCTGGGCCTTTTCTACAAAAAGAGCCCTGAACAACTTTCCACTCATATAAACAATTTATAGCCATGCTCCCTTTCTGGAACTCTCCTCCCCCCTTCTACTCAAGCTGTCTCACACACACACACCAATGCCCTGTGAATTCCCACCCCTGCCCAGAGTTGAGGAGGGAAGGAGGTGAGGAAGCAAACTGCCCTGGGGCCCGACAGGTGTGTGGGTCTGAACATACTGGTTCATGTTGCCAGTAGTGGACAAACAAAGGTGCTCGTACGTGACCCTTTGACCTTCAGGGCCATGGCTTACAGAGTCAAACAGGAAGTCTATTGCCTATATAATGAATCAGCACTTATTGTTATTAATTAATTTCTTGTCATTAAATACTGTATACTAAACAATAAAATGCATTTGTTATGTCGATATTCCATATGCTTAAATATCTACTGGCAGAATTTGGAGGGGGGCACGGGAGAAGGGCCCTCAGCTACCACCCTGTGGCTCTGCCCCTTAGTCATGCCGGCCACATGACCACGGAAACGTCTTCGGACAGCGCTGGCTCTTTGGCTTTGAAACGGAGATGAGCACCGCAACCCTAGAGTTGGATTCAACTGCCTTTCGAGCAAGGGAATCTTTACCTTTACCTTTTTATGGGAGAAGGGCCCTCAGCTACCACCCTGTGGCGCTCTGCCCCATCCATTCTTCTCAGTTGATGGGAATTGTGCTTCCTTGTGAGTCTCCATCATACCAGTAAGGGTGGGCAGCATTACAGTCCCTATGTTCTTCAGAGAAATTGTGCCAGTCTCTTTCCTGCCCCAGTTTCACTGACTCGGGTTAATGTTGTTGTAAGAAAGTAGTGGTGTTCTAGGGTTGTCAGCCTACAGGTGGGTTTGGGAGATCTCCCAGAACTTCACCTGATTTCCAGACTATAGAGGTCAGTGCCCCTGGAGAAAAATGGCTGCTTTGGAGGGTGGATTCTCCCGGCCCCAGCTGGAGGTTGGCAACCTGATCTATCCAGGGCTCAGACCGCCCCTTGCTTGGCCCCAGGAGAGGAGCCGGGGGGAGTGGTAGTGGCAGTGATTCTGGTGCCCCATCCCAGAGTCTCTAAGACTGCCCCTGTACTGTTGGTTGTACCATACATCCCACGTTGAACCAAAGCATCTTTAAATTAAAGTGCAACTTGAAAGTTGAGAGACACCTTCCCCAACATTCCTAAATAAGCTAGAGTAGAGGATCCGTCCCTAGTCACAGCAGTAATCTTTGAGTTCAGCGACCTTGTTCTTTTTTCAGGAAATGTTTTGGTTTCTCCACCAGTCATTTCACCATCTTTAAAGGGGACAGTAGCTTTTGCAAGGACAGCTGGAGAAATCACTCTCCAGTAGAATCTTGTTGACTTGATACAGTCTTTATCGTTTTAGTACACTTTTATTGCGCCCTTCCTTCAAGGAGCTCAGGACAGCATATGGGGTTCTCCTTTCCCTATTTTTTCCTCCCAACAGTCCTGTAGAGTAGGTGATGCTGAGAGAGAGCATCTGGTCCAAGGTTGCCCACTGAGCTTTAAGGCCAAGCTGGAACTTGAATCCAGATCTCCAGATGTGTGTGAGAGTGTACATAATGATGTATCTAGCACCCTCGAAGCCTCTTTGATATAGTGGTTAAGTGCGTGGACTCTAATCTGGGAGAACTGGGTTTGATTCCTCACTCCTCCACTTGCAGCTGCTGGATGACCTTGGGCAAGCCATAGTTCTGACAAGAGTTGTTCTTGAAAGAGCAGTCCTCGAAAGAGCTCCCTCAGCCCCACCTACCTCACTGGGTGTCTGTTGTGGGGAGGGGAAGGGAAAGGAGTTTGTAAGCCGCTCTGAGACTCCAAGTGAAATGCGGGGTATAAATCTAATCTCTCCCTCTTCTTCTTCTTCTTCCTCTTCTTCCTACAAGCTGACTAGAAAGTTCTGCTTCTAGGCCAGGCTAGCGAGAAGGTCCCAGGCCTTTTAAAATCCAATATAGTATGACTATCTGGGAAAGAGATATAAATCCCTACTGCACACACTGTATTCTGCTGGGTAAAATAGGCCCCCCTCTCAATTTCTTCAGACAGTGTGGTTTAATGATCATTGTTTTTCTCCCTGCTCAAGGACCTCTCTATTGGGTATTTAAGGACAATGGTGTGGAAGAGGGTTACCCCCGCCCCGTCACAGACTTTGGGCTGCCAGAGGGGGGTATCGATGGTGCCTTCTCCTGGCCTCTAGACAGGAAGACCTATTTCTTCAAGGGAGAACTCCACTGGTGCTATGATGAAGCCACGGGTCACGTGGAGGAGGGCCTCCTTGCCCACAAAACACCCTGGGGGCAGTTCCCCACTTCAGTAGATGCTGTGCTGAGTGAGAATGACGGTAAGTTTGTGTTTATCAGTTTGTTCCTTATTTCTTTGTCCGTTTGTTTGTTAGTTTGTTCCTTGCAGTACCTCTTGTTTTTCATCCTGCTTGTATTGGTCCGGATTTGCCTGAGAACCTGTCCAGCTGCCATGAAATAGTTTTCAGACTATCCAGATAGCTTCTAGGGAGATTCAGACAGTGTGGTTTAATGATCATTGTTTTTCTCCCTGCTCAAGGACCTCTCTATTGGGTATTTAAGGACAATGGTGTGGAAGAAGGTTACCCCCGCCCCGTCACAGACTTTGGGCTGCCAGAGGGGGGTATCGATGGTGCCTTCTCCTGGCCTCTAGACAGGAAGACCTATTTCTTCAAGGGAGAACTCCACTGGTGCTATGATGAAGCCACGGGTCACGTGGAGGAGGGCCTCCTTGCCCACAAAACACCCTGGGGGCAGTTCCCCACTTCAGTAGATGCTGTGCTGAGTGAGAATGATGGTAAGTTTGTGTTTGTCAGTTTGTTCCTTATTTCTTTGTCCGTTTGTTTGTTAGTCTGTTCCTTGCAGTGCCTCTTGTTTTTCACCCTGCTTGTATTGGTCTGGATTTGCCTGAAAACTTGTCCAGCGGCCATGAAATACTTTTCTGGATGCTCAGACTATCCAGATAGCTTCTAGGGAGTTTATGATAGGAAGCTTGACCATTTCTGGACATTCCTGTTCTGAGAGATGGACATCCCTAATCTCATAGAGCTTCATGGAAGAGATTACCTATGGCCATGAGAGAGTTTCTTGTACTACTGGTTCAATAATGTGGCAAAATAAATACCAGTGGAACTGGCAGAAAAGAAAATCAAGGTTCCATGTTGGAAGCATTTTTGCATCTCTTTCCTTTTATGGACTATTAAACATCTAAAGCAGAAAGCTCCCCTTTTCCGAGAAGCCCTGTATCGTCCTTAATTATTCAGTTAGAAACCTTCTCCCCCTCAGTTTGATCTATGTTTCTGTCTCAGGCCTGAGAGTTATGGTTCGTAGGACTCTCTCTCCTCTTACTGTTTCATAATCCGCCTTGCACTTTGCTGCTTGCCCTTCATGAGTAGTGATTCCCCCTGGGCGAACGGCTGAGTGGTAAGGGTGAGTCCTCTGCCCTCCTGCCACCGAATGCTCGAACAGCTGAGACCCCTCCATAAAATGCCAACTGCAAACTTTTGCAGCCTCAGTTTGCCTACAGGCGAAGCAGGTAAAGTAGAGGGCATTTAACCCTTCAACTGCAGTTAAGTTTTGTGATTTGAAAACATGCACTCTGCTTTTCTATTAGCTAAAATACCATTAACAGAGCAGGGGTCCTAAGTCTGAGTAGCCAAACTGAGTGGCAGCTGAAGGATTAAACACCGGGGTTGCCAGGCCATGGCTGGCATCTGGAGTGAGCTGGGGGGTGTGTGTGTGTGGGGGGGGGGGAACCTGTGCTGCATGCATCATGATGTCACTTCATGGGAAAACTAGAAATGATGTCATGTCACTCTAGGAATCACCAGAAACTCTAGTAAAACCAGAGTTTCCAGCAATTTTTAAAGCTATATGACATGGCATGCAATGCTGTCATTTAAGAGAAAATTCTCATGCCTCCACTTGGAGTGGTAGTGGGCAGGAGGGTGTTCCAGTGAGAGGCCTCCTGCCATAACGGAAGGCCTGGCAACCAGTGTTCCTTCTAAGCTGAGTTAGTGTGAGCTAGCTCACCGTTTTTTAGCCTCCAGCTCACAGATTTTTGTCTTAGCTCAGGAAGGATGGCTCCAGAACAAACTAATTTATGCAGTAGCCAAATCGCTCGATCACAGCTTTAATACCAGTAGCTCACAAAGGAGAATTTTTGCTCACAAGACTCCACAGCTTAGAGGGAGCATTGCTGGCAACCCTATTAAACACCTTCTCCCTTCCATGTATGCTGTGGAGATCAACTGATGCTGCACAAGCTTGTAATTTGTATTTTATGGACAGAGCCAAAGGAGGTGATCTTCCTTTTCTATATGTCCTGAGACTGGCTGCTTTGTCCAATGAGAAGTCTTATGGATGCTGCTGCATGTGCACACAGTCTCTCTGCTGGAGAAGGAAGGGAACCAGCACAGAGGACAGCCAACTATCGTATCAATATAGTTATTGCCAAGCTTGATTTGAGCTGTCTTTCCATCTCCATCTCCCTGTGTAGCCATGTTTCCTGGTGCATCAAACCCATCCTGCCAGCTGTTTCATTTAAGTGGACAGTTCTCGTCTCCTAGACCACACATTCGTATAGTGCTGATGCCCCTTTTCTGTCTTGCTGCAGGAACCGTGTTTGCCTTTAAGGGTAAGGAGTACTGGAAGTATGACCAGCACAGTCTCAAGGTGCAGACAGGCTACCCTCGTTCCATAGCCAAGGACTGGCTGGATTGCACGGGAGAACTGTACCCTGCAAGGAGCATGCCCACCAGCCCCGCATCTGGGGCCGAACTCCAGCCAGACTTGAGGGGTCCACAGCTGGAGGTTGAGCGCTGCGTGTGCTTCTGCTCTGCCTTTCGAGCGCTCTATTCTGCTAGGCTCGGTTGCCTGCTGGTGTTTCTCCTGGCACTACAAGGCTTTGCCTAGGAAGGTCGAGCATTTCCTGAGCCCTGCTCTACAAAGCAGCACTTGTGTCACCTGCCAAAAGGGTTGCATTGCACAGATGGGGGAGGAAAAAGAAACAGCCCAAGGAAATGGAAAGTGGTGCACAGCTGAGGTGGGAAAAAGAGGCTGCCGGCTTTGGAGTGTGGACTCCATGCATGGTGGGAAGAGCTACCAGTCTTTTGCTGTGAATGAAATTCAGAGGGAAGCAGGACCTTAAAAGAACTTCATGGAACTCCTGCAAGAGCTGAGAGAAGACTTCTTCCATTTTGACAGCTGGGCTATTGGAGGAATATTTTGGAGTCTGAGCGGCAAGAGCCCTCCTCCGACAAGGCCCAAGGGTGGCCTTGTGCACTCATAGACTCTTCTTTTTGAAGAGCCAATGCAGAGAGCCCAGCAGCTCTGTGTAAGGGACTGAAACCAGGAACAGACTTTCCCCCCTTTTCTTCTTTTAAAGGAAACCATGAGTCACTCTTGCTTGGGGGCGCAATGCAACAGCAGCCTCATTCTGTGGTTATTCCATAAGTACAGCTGTGGAATGATTCAGAGCTGCCTGCCAAGGCCTGTCCAGCTTACTGACAAAGCGCCATTGTAGCCTAAATACTATAGAGGCTCTATTGAAAGAAAGGAGCACATAAGGGACGGGGCTGGGCGGTGGCACCGCTTTCTTTCTAAAGCCAGATTCAGAAAGGGAGGCCGAATGTGTCAATCAGCTCCTGATCCTCAGGCATTCCAGGCTTCCTGTTATTAACAGAGACTCTTGTGGCAGCTTGAGATGTCTGTAAAATGCAGGCAGGGCTCCCCCTCCCCAAACATGAGTGGCAGGCTATGCCTTCGTACTGCTTGCATTCTTATATCAGCAGGGCAATAGGTGGCAAAAAGGGCCTCAAAGGTCACAGAATATTTTGAAAGTTATTACAGCAACATTAAATTATGTACTTTTTCTTTCCAGTTTGGAAATGTTTTCATTCAAAATGGTAGTTGAAAACCACATATCGGCTTGCTCGGAGGCTTAGCAAGGGCAGCAGGTTAGACAGTAGCATCACTGCAGTTTTTCATAGGCTGCAGGCAGAGGCAAATGCATTCAGACACTGACTATTGTTGGCAGGGGAGGAGGAAACAGAAAAGGTGTGTTACTCTGGCCAGCACTAGCCAGCATGTAGTTGTTAATATATACATTCTTTCTGAGCAGTGAAAACTTGGAATTTCAGGAGCAGCATCCTTATAGACCTCCAACCATTCTTCACTCACCTCAGAATTCACAGACCACATTCCAGAGGTAATTCTATGTTTTATAGTTTTAACTTCCTCACCTAATACATATACTCTTCAAATGATTTTTTTTTAATGGGGAACAGGATAGATGCATATAATTGGGAACCTGCCCGGCATGTAGAAATGACTCATTACTGTGTTGTAGTTACAGTTCCCAACACTCTTAAAGGACCAAAAGTAGTAAAGGCTGAGAACAGAAAACACTGGTCAAAATTGGCAGAGAGATCTATTGCATAAGCCCCTTTGAAAAGCGGGGTTATTGCACATGGGGATGACTGTGCAAGGGCCTTTATACCTCTCCGTATGCACAGTGGATGAGCATCAGCAGAATGGCATGCAGGAGGTACCCAGTGTGCAAAGGGCCCTCTGTTTCTGTGGGCAAATGGAAGAGTGGCCTTCTTTTCGGTTTTTGAACCCTTTGCCTCTCTATTCCTCTTGCACCTTCCCCCCCTCCTTTCCTGCCATATAAGAGGTTTAAAGTGGTACTTTGGGGAAATATTCGTTGAACAGTATCCAAAGCACCCACTTGTCGCCATCTGCTTTTGATACTCCTTCTGAGTTTGAGAATTGTTTTCATGCGTGGGGATGGAGAGCGGGAAAAGGCTCTTATTTATATCCCAGGAAGAAACTCAGGGGCTGATTCCACACTCTTCCCCCCCACCACCATTTCAGCAACTTTAGTCATGCACTTTTATTTGATGCTACACAACATGTTTGTGTTCAAATTGTGAAGAGCCAGTAATCGATGAAGAAAAGAGGGGGCTGCACCAAGGCAAAATGAGGATGAAAAGTCAAATGGTGCAAAGGAAAAAAACTTTCATGATTGTATTAATCCCTCCGCGTTTCGCATGCAGCTTTGTTTCATGCAGCTTTGTCAAAGCTGCGTACGAAATGCGTAGGGGTTATACAATCATTCAATATTCTTCCCTTTGCACCATTTGTCTTTTCATCTTCAAATTGTGAAGAGCCCATTTTTTTCTGCTAAAAACTCCACAAAAAACAACAAACTTGAAGTTGTTGGGATGATCTTTTTCACACATCCACAAAGGAAGGCACACCTTCTCTTTAAATGAAAGAAATACCCCTTCCTCTGTGTTTACACACTGAACTGCCTTTGTGTTCTTGTTGACAACCAACAAAGCTGAGATTTTTCGCAGGGGGTGTGTGTTGTAGTCAAGGCAAGGATGTATGGTGGAAAGTGCCTTCAAGTCACCAGAGGGTTTTCAAGGCTAGAGACATTCACAGGTGGTTTGCCATTGCCTGCCTCTGTGTAGTTT